TAAGCTTGAGGAAGAAGAGAAATCAAATGTTGATCTGTAGAGGAGGAGGTATAGGGTTCTCAAGAACCCATTAGCTTGCGGAACCGGAAATCTCAAATGCTGGGATCCCACCCAAGATCGTGTACTCAATTGGCCAAATACGAAGTAGATGAATACAACTATAAATCGAGTGTAAAAAATAAAGCAAACATAAAAAGCACACTGCAACAACACATGGTTCACCCCGTAGGGTTACATCCACGACCCCGGCAACTAGAAATCCACATCACAATGAAAATTACAATTTTGGGTTGCAAGAGATAATATCTATCTCTAAACATCGGTAAAAGACCATTACCGATATTCTCTTCTAAACCTGCTCTCTTGACCGAGCAATACCGTCGATCAACATCTTCTTTCTCACCGTAATAATGCTACTGTAAAGATAACCTCAAGAGTATTCAAGAGATTTTCTCTCTTTAGAAGTGAAAGTTAATCGGCGCAAAGTTCATGAGAATATCACATCTCTCTCAAAGGCCATGTTTCTCTCTTAGAGAACCATCTCTATATTGGATATCCATTCCCATAACCCCTAAAGGGTTGACCCTCAAAGGGTGGGTATTATGTCCTCCTTCACTCTCTTATAAAGATATCACTTTCTAGCTTCTCAAGAAAGTCCATTTTTTATTCTTATAATACCTTTAATTTTTAGAAAAAAATATGGGTATAGTGATTTGGCTATCACCAAACCCAACAGAAGGGGTATCTAGAATCTCTACTGATTATTCCAAATTCTGTTCTTTTGCAATCATCTTGTGATAAACTCGTAAAGTCATGGCTCCATATAAAAATGTTCTAAACCTAATTGGGTTTGTTGTGCTGAGAAATAGTTTGCATGAGGCTTTACAAAGAAAAAATGTCAAAACTCCCGAACTCAGTAGGAATTTATACAAAATCCATACTGAGTTTCAGAATCTGTATGAATGTAAGATAAAAGTACATGCCTGAGGTCAAAAGATGATCTCAGCAATCTTGGTGTAGGTCGCATGTGTATTCTTGGCCTCATGCAGCCTACTCTTGGTTGCATGTTGCATACATTTGATTGTATTATACCTAATCCTTGCCGTTTTTGGCCTAGAGTTACCCCCTTGTGGCCTCCCTCTAGATGTATGTTGTCAAACCCCAGCCGTGTGCAAGGCATTTCTGATATATAAGGGACACATGGGATGTTTATACCAAGCTTTTTATAACCAACGACAATGTGTTTCTGTTAAGCCACAACCCCTGTCAACTTCGACAGTTGTTCTTTAGGCAACCCTGGCCCATCAGGAATAGGAGCTATTATGAGAAATCACACAGGTATCACGATAGCTTTGACCACCAAGTTTGTAGGCCACTTGGACTCAATGGAGGCAGAAGCTACTGCGCTGTTAGAGGGCATTAGAATGATCCAACCTTTCTCAAACTTACCTTTTATCATTGAAGGTGATTCCAAAAATGTCATTGTTTGGGTCAAACATCCCTCGTCAATCCGTTGGATTTTAAACCTTATCTTTAATGAAATTTTACACCTAGGTAGGGGTTGGCCATCGCATGGAGACACATGTGGAGGGAGGCAAACCACGTCACAGATGCCATGGCAAAAGCAGCGGCCTGTGGTGAAGAAATATGAGACCTCGTCGAGTGGGTTTCTAGTTCTGCTGAAGCCATTTTATAGGCTTTTCTCTAACGGCATCTATT